CTTCTCCGGGCCGGCTGCTAGCCACGGGGCTAGGACGTCAATCTGCAAAGGATTTATGCCTCACGGCAAAATCGTAGTCGGGGAATCGCAGGGTTCGTACAATGCAGTTCCTGTCGTAGGTCAGCCGCGGGGAGGGAAAGGCCGCCGGCGGGAGCGCTGGGGCAGCGCCGGGTGACGCGGTCCGCAGGTAGCTGAAGGCAGCCTAAGGGTGGCGAGATCTGCTCAACGTTCCTCCGGGAAATCACAGCTACAGGCCCCCGTACTTGCATTACTTTCACTGCTAGTCATGTACCAAAAACATCCCCGAAACTGCCTTTATTTACGTGTCTGAAACTGGCTTGTTTCTTGGCCACCGCTTTCCACCAGCCGGCTGCTCTCCCTCCCCGCGCTTGAGAAGACGTTGTTCTACACCGTCAAGGTAATTTCCAAAAGGAAGCCTAAAAACAATGTAAGTGAAAACAATGTGAATATATTGTCATTATTTCCATGTTCCCACAACCATCCTGGTGCTATTAACTGGAAGAAAGAGAATACAACTATAACCCAGCGCACTGCATCAGCTTTGACGTGGATGCCTTCTCCCACACCTCCCTACAGAAGAGGGGTTTTCCTCAGTGCAGTACTCGAAGATTTTGGTGAAATATGGGAGAAAGATACACGCGTGGCAAACTTGTATAGAACTGGGATTCTGGATTATCCTGGGAGCAAATTAGTTCTCAGCTAAAATAGTAATTGCACATATTTGTTATTCATTATTCTCATAATTATTCATGATACAAGGATTCATTCTGTACACTACCTGGATCATAGAAAGAAAATTACTTTGCTTGGTTACTGACAAAACAAAACCTTACTGAAATGCTTGACTTGTGTTTGGTTTGTCTCGGGTTACCTGTCAGCCAGTGGACTTTGGAACTAAGCTGAGTGTCATTTACTTACGTAACTATTAATGACTGTAGCACTTGATAAAACCTGTCCACACTTGCATTTCTGTTTCCATTCCTTTCTGTTAAAAGTGAACACATTCAGTCAACCGTGACTCCAGACGGATATGCCTAGCAAACAAGTATACGAAGGTTACAGCAACTGGATGTAGTTTTCTGTACAGAAGATTACACCGCTGTTAATTCCTGTGTGAAGCAAACAAAAAGGTCGGACTAAAATGGGAGAAGTCTGACGTTTTGCCCAGCAGACCATTAAGGAAGACTGCATCTCCCTTCAGCTATGTTAGTTACGAGTGAGTTGTGGCTGTTCCAATAACGTTCTGTCAAACAGTCCAACCATGAGTTTCTACAAAGTTTGAAAGTTCTTTCTTTTGAATAAACTAAACAGGAAATAACTCGTTGGTTATTTCTTCTGGTTTAGGGATTCATCTACACATGCTAGTGTATGTCTAAATGCGGTTAACCGTTAGTTTTCATCTTCTACTGCAATGAGAATTCTGTAACTTGCTCACAGGTCTTGGTCGAACGAAGTCTTTACATTGCCCCAGTCTTCAGTAGTGCAGAGTTCAAATGCTATGACAGCTCATAATTAAACAAAATACACATCACCATCATAGTTATTAACAAACTATTAATTTTAATTCTGAGTAGCTAATACTCTCAATTAGCCACCTGGATTAAAATTACTAACAATTAAATCATGCAAATAAGTCGGATCATGTTCCTCATGCTAGCACTTTTGTCTCTATCCTTCTAATCCATAGAGCATACTTCGTCATCTGTTTATCATACACATCTGAGCACTACGTCGAAACATTGGAGTGGGAAAAATAGGAGAAAAAAAGGAATACACGCATAATCGCGCACTTTTAGCTTTAGGTGAGCGCCCTCTTGTGATACTTTAAAATAAAGAACAAGATGAATAGCTGCTCAGTATTTCTGAAGTAACAGCAACACGACACATCATAACAATCCAGATGCATCATGACTTCGGGGACTAAGAATCGGGACAATTCAACTTGCAAAGCTCTTTTCTGTTCAAAAGGACTAAGAAACTGTTCGTTACAGTCTGAGCCAACAGTTCAAACAGGCGTGTAAGATTACTCTGCCAGAAGCCTGAAAGATCCTAATCCGGCAAATTAAACCTACAGAAACGGGACGGTCACTGTGTACATTTCACATGTCAATTAGCCGTCTGAGCTTAAAACTGTAAAACAGAAGAATCAGATAAGACTTCAGAAACAAATTCAGTTGACCGGGTATGGGCCGGTTAAAACCAAACATTGGAACAAACACTCTGTGTACTTAACGCACCTCTCCAATGAATTTTTGCACACTTGCTGCTGGTTATTTTAGGAAGGCAAATGGCAGTCTGTCAGCCCCCATGGTTGCCTGAGCACAAAGGAAGGTGGAGGCAGCCGGGCACTCAAGTGCCCTGAGGAGCCCCCGTGCCCCAGGTAAGCTTCCACTTGCTGAGGCTTCACTGGCAGTTCCTAGTAAAGGTGCAAAGCCTGCCCCAGATTTCCTACTGGGCATAACTTTATTTTCCCAAATAACGTGAAAAGAAAGCAAATTAGATCTCTCCTAGTAGCGTCTCTCTACCTGTAATGCAATTTTTTGCATTGCCTCCACAGCCCTGGCGGGTAGTCCGGGCTGCAGTCGCCCGAAGTGAGCAGGTTGCCGTTATTTGCTGCAGACAGTCACACAACCACTTTGCTCGCAGGAACGTTGTGAGGAGCGAAAGGCTCTTAGCCTGACAGGAACCTTAAGGGGAGTTACGCGGCTGTTCTCAACAGCCTAACGCTAAACTTCGGGAGGGAGTGAAAAACAACCCAGGAACGGGTTCTTCACAGACAAGAAGCCTAGTTTCTGGTGGGCTTCCCCCCATCACGGAGGACGCCGCCGGCTGCGGGAGCCCGCGCTGTGGAGGGCCCACCCCGAGCGCGGAAAATGGAGGCCCCTCCCACGGCGGCTCAGGGCCAAGGCCGCCGCGGGCCCGTGCCCGCCCCCGGACCCCCAGCAGGGGGCG